GATCACTATTACTAGTAAGTGTTAATCACCAAAATGAATGCTTAATGGTAACATATTACAGTTTAATATGGGTTACTTAACTATTTAACATGTAGGATCAGTAAATTTACCTCACACAATAGATTAAGATTTATGGTTTGTGATTATTGACCCTAATAGATTTTATGGTGTAATCTAATTATTATTAATTACTGTTAATCCCAAAGTCGCATGATAAATGTGTATCAATTAATTACACATTTGATTACACATTTATTATTATATGAATATCAAGTAATTAATCAATTATGTAACGTATTAAAGTTTTCTAAAATCATGTTACATATAGTTACCAATAGTCGCCATGGCGTGCTATAATTTTGTCTAACCACATGATTTGTGTACTATACTAGTTACCACTTAACTATAGTTTAGGACCGAGTAATATTTACCTTATACATTAGGATATATGAATGATTTATAATTTATAAAACTTTTGTTAAATCTTGATATTAGTACTTAGTTTGAATTGTAGAATCTATAAATCGTGCTGATTTGAATTGTGCTTCGAATCGGTATATAGATATGCAAATAAATTATAATTCAAATTGAAAATAAGTTAAATAGAGTGTTAAAAATTGTCATTAGAGTTTATAAACAAATAAATACTTGCATTATGACAAATTATCTGTCAGTATTAATGAAAAACAATAACGTAAAAACTAGACTAATATATTAATAAATCATGACATCTCTTGATTTTTGTTAAGATTATGAGTCAAAGCTAACCTATGTTTATCGTTTATGTCGATAAACTCATACTCTCAATAGTGAATATACACATGAATTTTCCACAAGATTTAAGAAATAGATAATCTTTATGATGTAGATGCTATTTTGCTCCACCAGTAGGAACCGTTATTTTCAACCGTTAGATTAGTTTTTTAACAATCAGATCTGTGTATATTTGTATTAAAATTTACATCGCACCACATAAAACTTAATAAATCATATTTATATGGAAATGACTTATTTATACGAACACCCCTTAATTATTCGAGTTTAACAATTTAGTCTCTATTCGTTTTTTTCTTAACAATTGACCCTTCAACTTAAAAATCTTTGCAATAAAAAACAACCTCAATTATTTTTTATGATCTTGATCACATGACGCGCATGTGAGCATTTGTTGAGGAGAATAAAGGTCATTTCTCACCCTTGAAGCCTCTGTTGAGGACATTGCACATTAAAAACCAATAGTTGTTGGTCATAGCTGATTGTGTTCAGACAGATTAGATGACACTGACATCAAGATAATCAAAGAAATAAGGTGAGAAAGGACATTCATTGTCCTTAACAGATGCTTATGTATGTGGCTTGTGATCAAAATTGTCATAAAAACAAACAGATTGGACCTTAATTGTAAAGATTTTTACAAAAGGGGTCAATTACCAAGAAAAAAGAATAGGGAATAAATTACCAAATTCGAATAGTTAAGAGGGTTTTTGTACATAACAAACATGTGGAAATTATACATTTAAATTAAATTAAAGGATAAATTTTACTTTTACCCCCCGAACTTTAGTCTGTTTGTCATTTTGTCCCCCGAACTTTAAAAATTCGTCTGCGCACCCCCTGAACTTTAAAACATTAGTCACTATGCCCCTTCTGTTTATTTGACTAAGGGATTTCATGATGTGACAATTATTGAGGGGTAGTTTAATGAATTGTTTGCATAAATGTCCCTTGAAATATGTATCATATTTCAAAATACCCCATGATCTATTTAAATACATCAAAATATCTATAATCTATAGAAAACATAATAAAATAATAGTTTTATTGATGTGGCATGTTATTAAAAATTAATTAGACATTAAATTCTAATCGAATCAATAAAAGTGATTAAATATTGAAAAATAATAATAAAAATAAATATTAAAATGCTACACTTCAAAAAATTTAAAAATTTAAAAATGAACTATTTTTTTTTTCAAAAATCAAAACCCAAAAGAAAATAAGAATTTTTTTTTTTGAAAAACCTTATTCCTCTTCAACTCTAAAAGCGCATATCAAAACACATTTTTTCCTTAAAAGAAATTTTTTTTATTTTTGAATTGTCTTTTAGGTTTTTCAAATTTTTCTATAAAAAAACATTAGTTGATATAACATGCCACTAAAAATTCAAAAAATCCAAAAGACAAGTAAAAAATATCGAAAAAAGGATAAAAAAAATCTTATTCCTCTTCAAACATCGAAAAACCTACTTCTTCTTTAAGTGAAAATTTTATTTTAATCTGCACTTCAAGAGCTAAAGAGGATGACTTTTTAATTTTTTTTTCCTCTTTTCTTTTTTGATTTTTTTTAATTTTTTTAAAAATTATTTAATTTTTAAATTTTTTAAAGTGAAGCATTTTTATATTTCTCAATATTTAATCACTTTCAATGATTCAATTAGAATTTAATGTCTTAATGAGATGTCACATTAATAAAACTGTTATTTTATTATGTTTTCTAAAGATTAGAGGCATTTTTATGTGTTTTGATAGATCAGAGAAATATGATACATACTTTATGGGGCATTTATGCAAATAATTCGTTAAATTACTCCTCTAACAATTACCACATCATCAAATCCGTTAGTCAAATAAATAAAAAGGGAAAAGTTAATGGTACGCAAACTAATTTTTAAAGTTCGGGAGACAAAGTGACAAATTGATTAAAATTCGAGGGGTAATAAAAATATATCCTAAATTAAATCCGTAATATCACATCAATATTTTTTCTGGAATCTCATTTTAGGAAAGAAGTTTTCAGAAAATTTATTTATTTAATATTGTTGCCTGTTATGCGTTGAGATTATAACTTTGTTTAACAATCAATATTCTATAATGCAATATATCGTTGAATATTGGCATCAAAGAAAGCATGTCAACAATTTTATAACTGTAAAAAAAAAAAAAAAAAAAAAAAAAAAAAAGAAGAAAGAAGCATTGATATTCGTTCATATGTCATCCTTTAGAATGTATGACAAGCACGCCTATTGCTTTCGCGTCACAAATATCCTTTACCTATATATGTGCCACTAAAGAATAATGTCGTTACAATGTCTAGAATATGATTTTAATTGAGGAAGAAACGCCTAAATATATTATCGTTATCATTTATGTGTGGGAGTACAACATCCACTTACTCTTCGAAACGTTATCCTTTTTTCAAGGGAAAAATAATAAAATAACTTCATTAAGCCTATTATGCAAAATCAAATCAGCAAAAAAAAAAAAAAAAAAAAAAAAAAAAACCTCCTCAAGCCGAATGCAACCTTAGAAGACATGCACGGTCTTATGATTTGTTCAGTCTTAAAAAATATTTTGATGTATATAGAAATAAAATAAGAAAAATGCTGGAGAAGAAGAGTTTCTTTTATTATTTTAGTATTATTATTATTTTATAGGACGGAAGATTTAGGCCCCGTTCACTTCGCTAATTCGAGTTTAGAATTCGAATTTTTCTACAGTAAAAAGTTCTCACAAACAATCACATCTAACTTTTTTATTACCGTAAAAAGTTTTCATATAAAGTCACATCTCAACTCGAATAGACTATTTATCTTCGATGTAATTAGTTATAAAATTATTATTAAATAATACATGCAACCATAAATTTTTTTTTCTTTTTAAAAGGTTTTTTTTTTCTTTTAACTCTTAAGATTATTCTATGCAATATAATAATAAGAAGAATTAATTAATGTTAAAATGGAAGCATCAAATAGATGTCTCACAAGTCCCTCTCAAATGATCAAGCAGAGCGCTGCTATCTCTGCGTCTTTACGCACATTCAATTAAAAAACCGTCACAGCTCTCAATGCGTTACTTGAACCCCAAGCGTTATTACTCTCTCAACATACATGGATCTGTCTTTATAGCTAGACAATGAAAATAAATATAATTAAATTGTTTGGGAAATTGGTTCGCCGTTTTGAGCCTCAAAAACCTATGTTCCCATTCAATGCTCTTATACCCCTTTATCTCAGCAGCACATATTTAACCTGCACTCTTCAATACCCATCCATAACGCCCTCATCACACCCCAACCACACATCTCTCTCTCTCTCTCTCTCTCTCTCTCTCTCTCTCTCTCTCTCATGCAAAATTGCAAACCACAGTTGTCTCTCGCCACGTGAATATATCCTTCCAATATACATATATATATATATGTATACACACACACACATATAATTCATATTATTATGTCTTCAATTTTGATGTCTAAAATGAGATTGAACCAACCATATTTTTAATTTACTTTTTCACGCTTTGACGTTTTAATTCATTAAATAAGATGATAAAATGTGATTTGAGTCATTTATAACACCAAACAATTAGATTGATTATTTGAATCTATATATATATATATATGTGTGTGTGTGTGTGTAGGTTTTTGTTATGGTTCTCCCAATACGACCATACTTTTACTTTAACATATAGATTAGTAAGAAAAATAAAATTACTATTAATTAATATAACAAGGATCTTATTTAAAGTAACTCAAACGTAATCTAACGTAGCACGAATGTTAGAAAGGTGAAACACCAAGCAATTTTACATCTTTAATTTAGTTTAACGTGATACAAACAATTTTAGGGTCTGTTTAGTTCGTTGATTCGAGTTTTTAATTCGAGTTAAGATGTGATTTTATGTGAAAGTTTTTTGTTGTAGTAAAAAAATTAAATGTGACTGCTGCTGAGAGTTTTTTACTGTAATAAAACTTAAATTCTAAATTCGAATCGATAAAATGAACGAGACGTTAACGTGTAACAAGAATTGGTGATAACTAAATTTTTTAGTACTACATATTTTTAATGCAAGTGTCATGGGGAATAAATACATTGTGTTAAACTATCATTTCTATATATTACCATAAGAATATATATGGTCCTTCCCCAAGGACTGTAGACAGCTATATGTATATACCTTTCACTTATTTTCCATGTACAAACTTTTCTCGTTACAATCATCCCAAGTCTGAGGAATAGAATATTATTATTATTATACACACATATAAAGCAGATTCTACTAGAAACACACAATTTCCCTGCCCCTATATATCTCTCTCACCCAACACACACCTCTCTTACCCTTCACCAACCAACCAAAAACAAAAACCGCCAAAGCCTTCTCTCTCTTTCTCTCTAGAAAAAAAAAAAAACATGGAGATCACTTCTCTTGTCACAAAAGACACAAGCTGGTGGGTGTTTACCTTACCAGCTTTTCTCGGCTCCAAGACCCTTCTGGACGGCTGCGTTTTGCTCTCTCTTGCCCTGGCTTTCGTGTCGTTTGGGCTTCTCACGTGGGCCTTTGCGACCGGCGGCGTTGCATGGAAGGACGGGAGGAACCGGAGAGGCCCAACCGCCATCCGTGGGCCCCGTGGGCTTCCCATCTTCGGGAGCCTCTTCACTCTGAGCCGCGGCTTGGCTCACCGAGCCCTGGCTTCCATGGCCTGGAGCCGAGACGAGACACAACTCATGGCTCTCAGCCTCGGCTCGACACCCCTCGTCGTGGCCTCCGATCCCCACACCGCCAGAGAAATACTGACCTCCCCGCACTTCGCGGACCGGCCGTTGAAGCAGTCGGCTAAGAGCCTGATGTTTGGCCGTGCCATCGGCTTCGCGCCGAACGGCACATACTGGCGGCTCCTCAGGAGAATAGCTTCTACTCACCTTTTCTCTCCCCGGCGCATTTTAGCCCATGAAAGCTTCCGCCAGCTAGAATGCGCCGACATGCTGCGCAACGTAGAAACCGAGCAGAAACTCCACGGCTTCGTCTCACTCAGAAAGCACCTCCAAGCGGCGTCGCTTAACAACATCATGGTAAGCGTGTTTGGAAAAAGATATGACCCGGCGCACGATAGCGAAGAGCTTGAGGAGCTTAAGGACATGGTCAGAGAAGGGTTCGAGCTCTTGGGCGCTTTCAACTGGTCTGATTATCTTCCATGGCTGAGTTACTTCTACGACCCGTTTCGCATAAACGAGCGATGCGCAAAACTCGTTCCCCGAGTCAGGAAACTTGTTCTGGGCATCATTCAAGAGCACCGACTCGGTAATAAGAATATGAACAATATTTCTGATCATGGAGATTTCGTTGATGTTTTGCTCTCTTTGGACGGCGACGAGAAGCTTCGAGACGATGACATGATCGCTGTTTTATGGGTACGTAATTAATCTTTTTTGTTTAATTTGTCCTAGTCGTTTTTGTAATTATGACCTAGTTATGACTCAGCGAGTTGACTCGTTCAGGAGATGATTTTCCGAGGCACTGATACGACAGCTCTGCTGACGGAGTGGGTGATGGCCGAGTTGATCCTCCACCCGGAGAAGCAAGAGAAGCTCCGTGTAGAGATAGCATCCGCCGCGGGTGAAGGAAGAGGGGTGACGGACGCTGAGCTCGCGAGCCTGCCGTACCTGCAGGCGGTGGTGAAGGAGACCCTGAGAGTGCACCCGCCTGGCCCGCTCCTCTCGTGGGCCCGCCTGTCCACGTCGGACGTCCAGCTCAGCAACGGGATGGTCGTCCCGGCGCGCACCACCGCCATGGTCAACATGTGGGCCATAACCCACGACCCGCTCGTGTGGGAGGACCCGCTCGCCTTCCAACCCGAGAGGTTCCTCGCTGCTGACGTGGACGTCCGGGGCTCCGACCTCAGGCTGGCTCCTTTCGGCGCGGGCCGGCGCGTTTGTCCCGGTAAGAACCTCGGGATCGTGACGGTCACGCGCTGGGTGGCGGAGCTGGTGAGGAATTTCGAATGGGCCGAAGACCCGATCCGGCCGGTTGATCTAAGCGAGGTCCTGAAGCTGTCTTGTGAAATGAAGCATTCTCTCTGTGCCGCGGCTGCGCAAGTTAGGGAATTCTAGTTTGGTTTTAAATATAAATAATTAGGGTTAATTATTATTACTATTATTATAATTATGTGGCTACTACTTAATTATTGTTGTGGGATATGTTTAATTAGGGGATTGATATGGAAGCTGTATATTTTATTAGTATACTGTATTCCTTGCTTTTTTTTTTTTTTTGTTAATTTTTATTTGTTTCAAGCTAAGTAGAGCATGGATAGCGTGGTTTTTAGTTGTAGAGGTCTCCAGTTTTGGAAACGGTTTTTTGGTTGGAGAAACTCTCTGGATTTTGTGAAATCGCGTGGTGATAGTAAGAAGCGTTTGCATGTAGTGCTTGATCTCTAATGCCTCATGTTATTATATCATTATTCGTTACTCTAATATTTAAAGTATATATTTTTTAAATAAATCAAAAAAATATACGATAAATTGAAAATATATTACCCGTTTAGTTCGTTGATTCGAGTTTTTAATTTGAATTGAGATGTAATTTTATGTGATAGTTTTTTATTATAATAAAAAAATTAAATGTGATTATTTATGAGAGTTTTTTACTATAATAAAATTTAAATTTTAAATTTAAATTAGCAAAATGAACGGCATTAATCACAATTCTAATTCTTGAATTACAAATCTATATTATATGTAATGCAGTAGCGCCGCATATTTCTGTATGGACTTAAATCAAACGAGTGTGAAGAATGTGTTCATGAAAATGGATTTTCTTTGGAGATCTTGTGGTAGGATCTTCTTATACGGGTACTGTACGCTCTCACTGTCATGACTGTCACTATTTATTTCTGACTTCCTATTCACTTCGGACTGTTGATTAAACTGTTAGATTTGACTAAAACCATATTAAAATTAAACTGTTGGATTAGACTAAAACCATATTAAAAAATATATAGAATATACTGTTTTTAAAAATATTGCGTAGAAATCTCCTTTATAAAGGAAGCCAATTTATTTGACCTATTTATAGCACTCGCAAATGGACTTGGATGCACATGGTTCTTGGTGCATTTACTTGGATTTAAAATAAGTGTTTGTTTATAGTAATTTAGAATTATGATTCAGTATTATTATTTAGTTTAAATGATTCAAAATCTGATGTGATGTTTTAAATTAGTTCAAATCATGATTCTAAAAGTATCTCTCTTTTGATTCAAAGAAATTCAAACCATTGATTTTGAATCACGATTTGAACTTAAAATCATGAATTATAATTCTGATTTTAAAATCATGATTAGAATTATTCTGATTTAAATCTTCGTACTAAACGAATCTTTAATACATCTTGATCTCTAATGCCTCATGTTATTATATCATTATTCGTTACTCTAATATTTAAAGTATATATTTTTTAAATAAATCAAAAAAATATACGATAAATTGAAAATATATTACCCGTTTAGTTCGTTGATTTGAGTTTTTAATTTGAATTGAGATGTGATTTTATGTGAAAGTTTTTTATTATAATAAAAAAATTAAATATGATTATTTATAAGAATTTTTTACTGTAATAAAATTTAAATTTTAAATTTAAATTAGTGAAATGAACGCATTAATCACAATTCTAATTCTTGAATTACAAATCTATATTATATGTAATGCAGTAGCGCCGCATATTTCTGTATGGACTTAAATCAAACAAGTGTGAAGAATGTGTTCATGAAAATGGATTTTCTTTGGAGATCTTGTGGTAGGATCTTCTTATACGGGTACTACTGTACGCTCTCACTGTCATGACTGTCACTATTTATTTCTGACTTCCTATTCACTTCGGACTGTTGATTAAACTGTTAGATTTGACTAAAACCATATTAAAATTAAACTGTTGGATTAGACTAAAACCATATTAAAAAATATATAGAATATACTGTTTTTAAAAATATTGCGTAGAAATCTCCTTTATAAAGGAAGCCAATTTATTTGACCTATTTATAGCACTCGCAAATGGACTTGGATGCACATGGTTCTTGGTGCATTTACTTGGATTTAAAATAAGTGTTTGTTTATAGTAATTTAGAATTATGATTCAGTATTATTATTTAGTTTAAATGATTCAAAATCTGATGTGATGTTTTAAATTAGTTCAAATCATGATTCTAAAAGTATCTCTCTTTTGATTCAAAGAAATTCAAACCATTGATTTTGAATCACGATTTGAACTTAAAATCATGAATTATAATTCTAATTTTAAAATCATGATTAGAATTATTCTGATTTAAATCTTCGTACTAAACGAATCCTTAATACATGTTGATAAATGCGAATCATATGAACCGTTACAAGTTGCTAATTCTGATATATGATGTCGTTATTCGTCGTAATTATGATTTGCTTCTGCTTGTAACAGTAAAAAAAAAAGTGGTTTTGATCATCGTAAACTGAATACAATTAGGAGTACTTATGCTTCGAATACAATATAGGTGAACGACTCGTTTTATAAAAAGCTGCCGTTGATTATTGATCAATTTAACAAATGTAAATAATACTCGAAGCAAAATACAATATTAAAAGAAGGCGTTTATTATGTTAATTTGTTACTTAACATTTTTAATATTTATGGAAAGAGTTTCTTGAGCATGACTAAGTTTTGTTAACGTATATTTGGCGTGTCACATTTCATTCGCCAATATCTATCTATTTTTTATGTCAATAAGGCCTCATTTACTTTGTAAATTTGAGTTTTCAATTCGAGTTGAGATTTGACATGTTTTGAGAGTTTTTCACTGTAGCAGAAAAAGTTAGATGTGACATTTTTTAAGAGTTTTTAACTGTAGAAACTTATAACTGAAAACTCGAATCAGTGAAATAAATAAAACCTAAATTTGCTTACTCAAGTACCCGTGAAGACATGTATAGCAGAAACATACGTATCCATTTTATGGACTGATAGGAATAATGCGTATCCGATTTGTTAGATAATTAACCTAATGAGTAATGACAATTTCCTTGGAGGATACAATTTTTATCTCAAACAATCTTATTCTCTATTCCGTTAGTGAATATACTTATTACTTTAATTAGAAAATTAAGATAGAGAACTGCATGGTATATTTTGTGTGATAATTTACAGGAGAGTTATGTGGTAGGATATATATATATATATATATATATATATATATACATGAAAAAAAAACCCTTTCATGTAGGAGGTAAAAAGCTCTCAGAAATTAGTTGCGTTCATTTCACCGATTTGACTTTAAAATTTGAGTTTTACTATAGTAAAAAGCTATCAGAAACAGTCACATCTAACTTTTTTACTGTAGTAAAAAACTCACATAAAGTCACATCTCAACTTGAATTAAAAACTCGAATCAGCGTACTAAACAGACGGTAATTTAAGAATCTTTATGAAATTCCATGGGTTTAGAATTTTGTCATGCTACTATCCTCTCATTATGTTGGAGTTATCAAACTCATCGTCTATAGTTTATATAACCCTCCACTCGAATATTATTAAGAAAGAAAAAGATCAAATAAAAAAGAGGTTAAACAAATTTGGCCAAAGGCAAGTCAACAATGAATTACAGGAACAACTTGAAGGAAAAAAGAAACAAAACGTAGCTCAAATAGAGCTAACAAGGTTGTACACCATGTCAAACAAAAAATATCCTCGTGCCAAGGCCCTTCAATTTAAACATCATTAAAACTTTTCAAGTAATTTGATTACCCTCCCTATAGATATGTGAGACTCCGATATTCAGAGTATTAATTAGCAAGAGAGTAAAGGATGAATTGAATGTTTTATTTACAGTCAAGGTAATCAAGTAAAAAATTCGTTTTACCACTGAGTGGTACGAGAATTTAAACTAAAATGATTCTAATCATAATTCTAAAATCAGAACTATGATTTATGATTTTGAATCACTTTGAATTAAAGGGAGTAATTTTAGAATCATGAGTGATTCTAGTTTAAAACATCGCATCAGATTCCGAATCATGATTTATAATTATTCAAACTAAACACTGATTATGAATAATGATTTAAAATCACTATAAATAAACATTTTAAATCAAGATTCAGAATCATAATTCTGAATCTATCTATCAAACGCCTCATAAGAGTTTTGGAAGTATCAATGATTTTCTTTATTAGAAACGACTAAAGAAATTCTGTGCATTCCCTGATATTCCTTTTAATTAGAACATCGATACATATAGCGATTTGTCTCAAATGGTGATCTCAATCTCATGAAATCTTCGATGTTGATTTCGATTTATATTTCGAATTGGTTGCAAGTGATGTCACACTCGATCTCAATATGTGGATGTCAGAAGCCCCCGAGCGATTTTACCATAGGGGGCCAATAATAGACAATAACTCTGGTGATCTCAAAACTGTCCTCAAACGATCGATTACTCGAAATCAAGAGGACGTGTCACGCTCTCGAACTCTATCTATGGGAACTTGATGACAATACTAACTATTGACGTTATTTTCTACTTCAATATGAAAAGATACATGTATCTAACCCAGCCAAAGACAATTGTCTAGTTATCAATCTCATAAAATAAGTATATATACACTAGTTCGTTGCACATCTCTCAACCATTTGTCACATGCGCATATATATATATATATATATATATATATATATATAATATAAGTTCTTATAAGATCCGGCCATAGTAAGGCCATAGCAAGGGCATGTTCATTTTATCGATTTGAGTTTAGAATTTAAGTTTTGTTACAGTAAAAAATTCTTATAAATAGTCACATATCAACTCAAATTAAAAACTTAAATTAACGAACTAAAATAGCCCTAAATTCTTACCTAGAATTTAAGTTTTGTTACAGTAAAAAATTCTTATAAATAGTCACATATTAACTTAAATTAAAAACTTAAATTAACGAACTAAAATAGCCCTAAATTCTACTCAATCTTAGACTCGTGGAGAAAGATGTATGCATTTGTCTATATTTATAGCAATTATCTTAAAATTCCCAAACTATTTTGATGGTCATTGGGGACAAGATAATCCATATCCTCAAAGAAGCTACTCCTTAGAGATAGAAGTCTCGTTCATTTCACTGATTTGAATTTAAAATTTGAGTTTTATTACAATAACAAATTTTTAGAAATAATCACATCTAACTTTTTTAATACAGTAAAAAACTCTTATATAAAATCACATCTTAACTTAAATTAAAAATTTAAATCAGCGAACTGAATCGGCTCACACCCCTTCCTATTTTGATAGTCTTTAGGGATAAGCGACGTTTCTTTTACCATCTCTTTTGAGTTAATTTTTTGGGTGGGTTTTTTGTATGGAGCATAGAATCGACATTCATCGTGAATATTTG